ATCTAAGTAGGCAATGCAATCAGTGCAGTCTTAATGAAAGCAGAAGTAACATTTTATTGTCTTCGCTCATTTGCACACACATAAGGCTGCATACAATTGAAGTTGTGAAGAAAGTGACAGGACAAGTCAAGAAACAAAGGGTTGTTAAATTAAAAAAAATAGTTGTAAATGTTCTGAGGATACCAAGCTTTTGATAAAGTGTTACATATGTGTACAACCAGATATCTTAGAGAGTGCTAGTCATATTTCACTTGATAAAGACTTCACCTTTTTAAGTATTATATGAAACAATTTGGGAGTTATATTTTAAGAACATGCTTTAAAATTATAGTAGAGAAAAAGGCAAGGTCCTATTTCTATATGCACACACGTACGATGAATAATATGAGAGTCATAAACTGAAACATGTTTCTGTTTCCTGAACATTGGAACAGATTATTTGTTCTATTTTGAGTCAGAACTCTTATTTTTGCACCAACAGAGGTGAATGAGAGTGTATGACCTGAACCCTGGCCTGAACGAGCACATGAACGAGTACAGAGCGCTGTGTACTGAACTAAGTGCTCTGTACAAGGGCACTTCACTGGTTTAATTTGAGTGCAATATTGCTTTTGTTTATCGTCCCATTCACATTTTCCCAGCATGCAGTGGGGGGGGATAAAGGTTCATCAGGTTCACGTCTGTACTGTCCTGCAGCAGCTGTAACACAGCAGAGCCTGTTTGTCGGACTCTGGGGATCGCCTGTACAAAACTGGCCACACACAGACACAAAAGCACACACACATGCACACACACACACACACACAACGACCTACACACAGGCCTGTGATCACAGTGCTCATTGTCAGTGTGAGCCAGGGTGGCACAAACAAACACAAATGGATACCATTCTTGTGCGAGACACACACAAAACGCTCCCACGTGTAATTCAACCGACATACCAGCCCACTGGAAAACACACACGCACACACACTCACACACACTATCCCCTGCGCCCAATATAGAGTCCATTGCTTTGGAATGCCACACTGCTTTCCTCTAAACACGACATGTACTCAGACTCGGTCGGGACGAGTGGTGTGAGTCACACAGGACTCCAACAAACCGACATGATTGCCTCGTTACCCGAGAGGCTGCACGGCTACATGTTTAAGGACAGAGTGACTCACAAACGCCCAAGATTACCCTGGCATTAAAACCCACAGCTTGTGTAAATACGGCTCTATTATTCCCGCTGAGCTCTCTCATTCACTGTTTGCAGTGGTGTGATTCATACAGTCGAGACACGTGACCTCTCCTCTGAACTGGAGAGCGTTTCCACTGAGGGGGTTTCCCCAGAGTAATGGACGGTCAGGGTTCTGCAAAAAGCCTTCCTATAATTTCTGCTGAGAAGATCCGTTATGAGCTCTAGGAAAATGTGATCGTATGAGATCGTAGAATTACACTTCCTTAGTTTGCTTGTATGGTCGAACGTTTTAGAATGATACACGATATGCATGTGTTTCATCATGAAAAAAGAACACACAGGAACAGACGTTAATTCACACATTTTGATTCATAAAGAGCTGGAATAGCACCTCCTTTATCGCAGCCATTGATGAATTAAATGCACTTTGGATGGTCCCATTTCCAAAGTTGGACAGTTGTTCTCTTGACTGGTGTTTGCGTGAGCCTTGGATTGTAATTTGGAAACAACACCGACACTACTGCTACGTGTTGTGGTTGATTGCTCAGATCATTTCACACATTGATATCTGTTACCGAGTTGCTGTTTTGGACTCAAGGTGTCGTTCACGTGAATTTTCCCATTTGGAAACACATTTTTCAATGAACTCCAACAGCATATGAAAGCAGCAATATGTCCGATCTCATAATGTAAACAAAAGTCAAACATAATCCGTCTCTTGAATCAGGTCTGTGCCCACATTTAATATGTTCTTCCCTTTAACCAAGTTTCTTAGAAAGTTGACCTAGTAGTTTTTCGGTAATCCCGCTGACAGACACACAAATTGAAGGGAAAACATGACCTTGTTTGCAGGGGTTAAAATAATAAGATCCTAACGAAAATATAAGGATTTTTAAAAAGTCTTAATTCTTCCAACAGGTTTACTTATTGTAGTTCTGTATGAAATGTCATACTGGACTGGACAATATGTTGGCCTTATCACGTTGTCATTTACCAGGTTGCCAGGCTCAGTTGGCAAAACATAACATAAGTCAAACTGTGCATTAAGCTGATCAAAGGCAATCTATCTCAGAAATACACCTTTAAAATACAAGGTCTCCGTCTGGACTTACAATATGGGGGAACCAAAAAGCTGAAGGTATTCCAGGGTATAATTAATACAGAAGCAGGGAGTGCAAAATCACACATTTAAGCGTTCAAGATGGAAGACTTTGCATGCACTGATCAGTGATTTTAATCCTTTCCTCACTAAGAGAAATACGGCCGATCTGAAAGAGGCTAAAGATTATATTGTGAGGGCAATTTGCGATTTGTATTTATAATAGTTAGCCTGTATTTCCTTGTGCTTAGCCCACAGGGGTGTTTTCTGATCTGCAACAAGTTAATCAGTTAATGCTGTGAAGCAAACGAGGTCTCCGAGGGAGCAGTCCGCCAGCTTTTAGTTTTCCTCCTCACAAATCCCAAGAGCAAATTGCTTCAGCTTTAAAAACTGACGTTGTCATGCCCTGCCGTCCTTGCATCTGTATACCTTTTATAAGAAAAAAAAATCTAATTGCAATACACTTGGGGAGTTTGTGCAGCAAAATGAATTGGGCAAATGGTTTGGAAGGCTTCCACTGCAAATAGCTATTATGAGATTATAATGTGATTTACACATCATTTGAATATGCATGACCATGACAGACGCAAAGAGGATTTATTTTCGTTAGCCTGCGCTATTAGGCAGCTTTCCAGTCTTTGCACATTGTAAGGGAATTCCACGGCTCTGTGGTTTGGACGTGTTGCTGACCGAGCCTTTCATGAGGTTATGAATCTGGCCCGAGTCCCCCCTCGCTCCAGGGACGTTTCTTTGTGGCTCAAACCCGGCACCCGGATATCCTGTGAGCAGCAGGAAAGCTGAAATGTTTTACCATCAAAGGTGTCACTCACACTGAGGATGCTGGGGAAATAGACGCTCCAGTTTTTGCAAAAGGGTTATTTTGTCAGTATTAACTTTAGAAAAAAGTATGAGCATGTATAAAAGCATTATTTGTAAAATATATTTTGAAAAAGCTTGCCTCAAGATATGTTGACTAATAAATGAAATACACGTTTATTTGCACACTACATTACATTACATGTTACTTGTTAGACGCTTTTATCCAAAGTGACTTACATACTCAATACTGTGGGCAATCCCCACAGGAGCAATTTGGGGTGAAGTGTCTCAGGGACACAACGACATGCTGACTGCAGTGGGACTCGAACTTGCTATCCTCTTCGAAGATCAGCGCACTACTCCACTGCGCCACACGCCTCCTACCACTAAGGAAGATCATAAGATAAAATGTACTTTATTAATCCCAATTTGGGAAACATCGGGGTGGCGCGGGGCTGTGCGTTTGATCATCAGATCAAGGGGGCGTTGGGGAACTCCAGTTCGAAACCCGCCCCCGCCGCCACTGCGTCAGGCCGTTGTGTCCTTGGGCAAGACACTTCACCCGAATTTGCTCCTGTGGGTATTGTCCACAGTACATGTATGATATTAATGTGTACTTGTAAAAGCGCCTCGATGACTTCGAGGTGTGAAGATGGGCGGTGTGGCGCAGTGGGCTGTGCATTGATGATCAGATCAAGGGGGCGAAACCCGCCGCCGCTGCGTCTGTAAAGCCGTTGTGTCCTTGGGCAAGACACTTCACCTGCATTTGCTCCTGTGGGTATTGTACATGACCATTACATGTATGTATGATATGTATGTGTAATGTGTATTTGTAAGGAGTGCTTTGAGAGTCCTTGAAAAAGCGCTATAATAAATATAAGGATTATTATTATTATTATTTATCATCAAATGCTACATAAATATTGAATGCATTAATTGAATTGTCCTAAGCTTAAGAGAATACCCATAGTTTAATAATTTTATAATGACCAAAATGGGAGAGAAAGTGTGGAAGGGAACGCAGGGATTTAAGCCTTTGCAGACCATTTACATGCACTAAAAGCCAATATAACACACTACAGGAAAGGGAAACCCCAAAAAGCATAATAGGCCCCTCGTTTCAACATTTCTTGACATAGTTTCCTGTTTTTTATTCCAATCTTGGTAATAATCTACATTGCCTAAAATTGCATATGTTGAAGACCATTTAAAAAACGTATGTCCGCACCACTTTTCAACTATTGGGCCAATGGTTTTTTTAACATAAATACTGAATAATGTTGGATCGCTCATGGCAAATCCTCATCATCACTACTATTTTTGCCATTTTTTCATGTATAGTCTCATAGTTTATACACACAGGGATTTTAGCCTTTGCAGACCATTTACATGCACTAAAACCTTTATAACACACTACAGGAAAGGGAAAACCCCAAAAAGCATAATAGGCTCCCCTTTCAGCATTTCTCGACATAGTTTCCAGTTGTTTTTTACAATCTTGGCTACAATTGCATGTCTTAAAGACCATTTTAAAATAATTCAACGTATGTCCCCACCACTTTTCAGCACAGAGTGATTTGTTGTTATTGGGAAAATGTTTGTTTTTTAACCTAAATACTGAATAGTGTTGGATTGCTCATGGCAAAATCATCATCATCATCATCAAGAAAGGCTTTTATTGTCATTTGTGCATACAGTGTAGTTATGACAAGGAAAATCTTAGGTCACAGGCTCCTCTGATAGTGAAGTAAATAAAATAAAATAGAATATAATAGAAATTGTGAAGAATAGTCTATATATACATTACTTGGATTATTGATATATATAAGTGTTAAAACCAGATTAATGTCATGGATATGGAGGATCACTACTATATTTGCAATTTTGTCATGTTACCATCCTCTCACAGTGTAGCTGTTTCCACGAGCCCTCTTTCCTCTTTGCATTAGTGTGGCTCAGACAGGATGTGGACAGCCGCTGACCGAGTGGAGGAGGAAGGGGGGGCTGGATCCACGTCTGGGTTACAGTGGGAAGGAAGGGGGTCACGTTCCTGATTGTTTCGCATTATGGGATGGCAGCCGCGGTGGAGATCTGGGGGGGGCGGGGGGGGGTTGTGAGCCGTGCAGGGTCCTATGGGGTCATTCCCTCCTATCATCACATTCACAGCTGCTGGGGCTGGGCAGGAAAGAAGTCTCCCATGATGTACACTCCTCAAGCATGCTGGACTTGGAGCTGAATGGGGACAATGAGGTAGATCCTGTTGAATAGCGCTGAGTGAAGCTCTGTGGTGGAGCTGCCCGGCGCATGAATGAGTGAGTTTTAAAAAAAGGGTACATCGATGCTCGGCCAAAACGTCCCTGAAAAAAAACAAAAGAAAACTTAGCAGTCTGAAGGCATTGGTTCTGCAGACTGAAGGGCTTCGCTTTAACAGCTAACAGACATTTTAAGTGGAAAACGTCTTTTTGTATATAATTTTACATATTTCTCTCATAAATGGGAATGTTTAATTTCCATCTGGACTATATATGGAACAAAACTAGACCCTGTGACACTGGCAGATGTCTTCTATTTTTTCTTTTTAAACATGTATTTAGAGATTTTTTACATTTATCACATTACACAATCACAACCGAACATTCCCCAACATTAGTCATATGGCAGATTAGGCAGATGTCTTCTTACTGAATTAACAGAATGTGTGGGAGGCTGTGGCTCAGTGGATAGTGTGCTTGAATCAGGGGATAGCGAGTTCGAGTCCCACTGCAGTCAGCATGTCGTTGTGTCCCTGAGACACTTCACCCCAAATTGCTCCTGTGGGGATTGCCCACAGTATTGAGTATGTAAGTCGCTTTGGATAAAAGCGTCTAACAAATGACATGTAATGTAATGTGTGGCACTTAAAGTAGTGTGTTGGGGTTATACTTAATCAAAAGGGAGGACCAATAACTAAATGTAAAGTGAAGTTAGTAGAAAAAAGACTGGAAAATCTGGAACCGGATGGAAACATTCGACACATTTTCCTCTCTTGGCTTAAGTATCTTTCCACATTGCCTTCACACTGCTGCCGTATCCTGAGCTCCCATGTTTGTTTCCACTACCTGTTTTTCCTATCAATTCATCTGTGTCCTCTGCATTTCCCATTTGTGCGGACACGGCGGCTTCCTTCCTCTCATGAACAACAGGATGTGTGCTATACTTGAAGCATACGTGCAACATTTTCAAACGTACAAATCAGCGTCAGCCCTCCATAGCGCCGGCACCTCCAATTTCCTGGTTTTGAAGAAGAGGAGCAGAAGTCATGCTGTGAAGGACAGATTAAAATGCTGTAGAGATTTTATCGATAACAGAAGGACCTTCATTTTAAAAAAACATGTACAACCTCATTTCTAATTCCTGTAAGCAATAAAGCAGCGGTGAAGCGTAACACAAACCATTATGGACATAAAGTTTCTTGTACATTAGCAGGATTAACAGACCCCTGCACACATCTCATTCCTTCATAAACTCCCGAGGTGCAGTTTAGTCATTTTCATACCTGCTCTCATTCCATTTTTTCTGCTTTGTTAAGCTGGGATTCTGATGATTCGACTCATTAAGTCAAGGCGCTCTCTATAAGTGCAGGGCCGATAATGGAGATGAGGAACCAAATTGAGCCTGTCTTTGAAAACTGCGGCCCAGCGCCGTGGAAATGATGGCCACTCGGCTTCGTTATGGCAAGACATGCACTTAACTGACGTCCACTGTTTAACTTGATGGTGTAAAACAAGTGAAAAGACTATCTTTTTCTTGTTCTAATGGAGTGAGATTGCAGAGAACGGGGCTAAATGGGCAACATAATGCAAACATTAAAACTGTCAACCACAGTTAAGCTTTGCTATTAACCCTCCTATTGTCTTCGTTTTCCCCCCCTTACTTTGAAAAATGTTTTGACCAGTCCTGTTTTAACTGCTATTACATTAACACAAAAACCATTAATCATCACCAAATTTCATTTAACACTCTTTCAAACTGTACATATTGTATCAGACTACTGGTATACATGAAAAACTGCAGTAAATATACAAAGAATAGACACTGAACATGTATTGCGTGTGCCAGGTGTGATCCATGTGGGGGGATGGGCACATAAGAGCGGGAAATGTGTCAAATTGTTCTGTGTGTGTGCGTGTGTGTGTGTGTGTGTGTGTGTGTGTGTGTGTGTGTGTGTGTGTGTGTGTGTGTGTGTGTATGTGTGTGTGTGTGTGTGTGTTACAAAGTTGACTAAATCATCTAAAATTCAATGAAAGTGGTGATCAGCTATTTCATATGTTCAAATGTCTGCTGTGAAGGATATCATAAAGCCTTAATGCAATCGAATGTAAAACAAAAAAGTTATGATTGAGGAAAGTAGTAAATCGGTCAGATTTGACCCGAAGACAACAGGAGGGTTAAAGGGGACCTATAATGCAAAATGCACTTTTGTACGTCTTTTATACATGAATATGTGTCCCCGGTGTTCCAGGGAACTCACCAAGTGTCAGAAAACACAACCCTCTCTATTTTCCTCCATACCCAAATCTCTAAAAAAGGGGCTGCAACGGATCTGATAAAAACTGATCCAGATTTGAACACTGTCCTGACGTCAGGACGGTGGCGCTACGGCTATTGGGCCAACTCCACCAATCAGGAGGAGACAGCCACGGCCATTGCCGTTCGAAAGCGCTGGAGACGCTGTAGTACATATGCCAGGCCTGTAGATGGTGCTGTTCTCACTGAATCTGCCCTTGCAAAAACAGAGCTAAAAATTGTCAAATTGAGCAAAATGAGGCATGGCTAAAATGCATGATCTGTTTGGTATTTTGAAAAAAAAAAAGTATAAATATGCCTTATATAGGTATGGTCCTACACTATATTATTCAAATATAGCATGATAGGTCCACTTTAAGGAAAAGCCTGATAACTTCTATAAAATATGGGAGACATTCCTACATTATTTAGAAATGCAACAGTGTTGAAATTAGTATGCTAGATAGGATTGGGTGGAATAAAGTTTTTGTCTTGGAGTATTCTTTGTGAAATGTAAGTTGCTGGAAAAGCAAAATACCAATAAAAATAAAACTGTCCACCACCGAGAACGAGTTGAAATATTTATAGTGCTTGTTTCTACATACAATATACAGTATATGAATACAATACAACTCCATAGGTGCATCATTCAATAATACTCTGGAGAGTGTTCACTTTCCAAACCAACTTACCCCTCAATAATAATAATTGTTGATGAGTTGCTGTTTTCATTTTGCGCCATCAATCACATTCTGAGGCGTAAATGCATCGACTGATATCTCACATACATCTCACTCTGGAGCGAAGCTGCTTTCTTATTCCTCTGAGGATCAGCATTCAATTTATCTCTCTCTTTCTCTCACTGCGATTCAACAGAGGTGATAAATCTCCAGAGTTAAAGCAAAGCTAAAACAACCGACCTCAGCGCTCACTGATGATAACGGCCGCGCTGCCCTAAACTGAAATCAATACTTTATCTTTTACATTTTTACATCTCACACGTTTAGCTGATGCAATCGTTGGGGAGGGATGGTTTACTGTCTCGTTGGAAGATGTTGAATTTCACTTCATTTCAACTCCACTCAGTCTGCATGGGGTCTGAATAAATGCAAACAATGCAACAATTCAATCCATGCGAGCTTTAATGTATAACATTTGTTCTTGAATGATGGGAAAGTAGACTAAAAGCTTTAAGAATCCAAACTATAACATATAATAAGTACCCTGTATCAAGATTAATGCAAAACAAGTGAAATGTCACCTTTTTAGAGAGATTTTGCAACAAAAAACACTTCTGGGGTCATTTGGGTGCATTTTCCATATCTCTGGCCCCCCTCAGTCGATTTTTATGATTGACACCTCATTTTAACCGTTAGAGCGAATAGAATCAAGGGGAAGTTCCTAAAATCCATCTGAACATTACCCATTGGTGAATGAGTGATGCGTAGCCAGATTGCCCCGGAACCGGAAGCTGTCATACACTCCGGTAGCTATCATAGCAACTATGAAAACTCCGTTATTGACATAAATATGAAGATGGATTATCAGTAATCATTTCAGACACATTGGATTAAACTATGGATTATCCTTCAGCAGCGTTTTCATCGTTTTAATGCCATTGAACACGACTTTTGATCAGAACAACAGCAATGGTAAGACAATGTCCCGTTTTGCTCCGTAAAGCTCTGTGTTGTGATGTCTGTTTTTACTTCCCCTGTCGCGAGTTCTGATCGCTCAGTGATGATACTAATACCTGTAGAATCTGTGGAATCTTGCTAATCGAGATCTTGTTTGTGCAGATCCGATATGTAATAAGGGTATTTATACCTAGAGTTCTGTGCTAAGTGTGTTAGCATTTTTTCGCTCACGGCTCATTTAGACGCCCTGAGCGTCTAAATGAGCCCTTGTGAGACTTGTGTTTTGTTTCGGTAAAAATGGTTCATATCGTCAGTTAGCTGAGTTTCTTCCCGTTAAGTGGGTATGACACATTAATAGGTTTTTAAATGTTAAGAAGCCCTGAGACACAGTTTTGCGGCGGGGGCCTCCGGATTGAACAGGTTAAAGGTCACTTATTATACAAAATCCACTTCTTCATGTCTCTTCTACATCAACATGTGTCCCCTCTGTGGAAAGAGATTATGAAAGTTTCAGGAAAAAAGATTCTCTCTCTTTTTGTCCTGATCCATTTATATAAAAACCTGTCTGAAAATGAGCTGATCAGATTTTGTCCACTTTATGATGTCATAACGATGTTTTGGCTCGTGTAACCATTAGCCAATCACCAACCAATGTAACCCCCCCCCCCCCCACACTCATCTAAAGGCCGCTACACACCCACCTGAGACCAAAGAACGCGTTACGAAGGCGTCCCGACTTTTACGTCAGCTTCGTCGCCTGCGTCGGCTGCGTCGGCTGCGTCGGCTACGTCGCCCGCTACGCCGCCCGCCTACGAACACACCGCAAATACTTCAGTCGACGAGTGGCAATAACTGTCCTTACCAGCAGGCAGCGGTAGTGTGTATTCGTCATTCAAAAGAGGCAACAACCGGAAGACAGACTGCCTTTTATACACCAAGAGAAGAAGAACAGACTGAGTGATATAAACAAACATATATATATATAAACAAACAAAGTCTGGGTTCCATTTTCACTCTTTCTCGTCGATCGAAAACATGTATCGTACGGTACTGGCGTTATCAGCAATTGGATTGTTGCTTGCCGCTGCAGAGATTAAGAAGCGGAAGCGAAAAATCAGGAGAAACCGCACTAAATGGGTGAAAACATGGATACTACAGCGGGAAGCTCAGGGGGCTTTCCCGAACCTGTGTCGAGAGCTGGAGTTAAATGAAATCTTAGATTTCACAAATTTTGCTCGGCTTTTTCCTGTTCAGTTTCACATGTTGAAGGAACTCATCACTCCACTCATCCAGAGGCAAAACACAAATTACCGGGATTGTATCTCCGTGGGGGAACGTCTGATGGTTACGCTGCGTTTTTTGGCAACAGGTATGAAAGCTAAAGATGTTGCTATATTTTAAATTGCAGTACTTTGTATATTATTACTTGTACATTTTACTTCAGTAAAAGTAGTAATACTGCAGTGTAGAAATACTCTGTTAAAAGTAAAAGTCATGCATTCAAAGATTTACTAGTGTAAGTACAAAACCAAAAGTACTGCTTGGTAGCTTGAGAATTTACCAAGGGATCAATAAAGTTGTATCTTAACCTATAATAATGCATGATAAAATATTTCATTATTATATTTTGTATCATTAATCTGAATCTTCATAGTAACCAAAGTAATCAACTATCTTGTAAACTATAACCTGTAGTTTTGTAGCTAATGAGTGTTTTGTTCAGCTGCTTCTGTAGATAACTCAGTCATGTGTTTGTTAATATTTACAGGGGAAAGCTTCAAGAGCCTTTCCTACCAGTTCCGAATGGGAGTGTCAACGATACGGCAATTCGTTCCTGAGACCTGTACAGCCATCTACGAGGTTTTAAAAGAGAAATACCTGAAGGTATGTGTGGATACTTACTGGTTTTACTGTGCAAACTGTATGTAATCTGTAGGCATTTGAACAGCAAATGTTTGGTCTGCCATATGAAACATGGGTCTTAAAACATGTATTTTTTGTTTGTCAGTGCCCAGACACAGTGGAAGAGTGGCAGCAAGTAGCTGATGGATTCCAGGCTCAGTGGAACTTCCCAAACTGCCTAGGTGCCCTGGATGGGAAACACATCAACATCCGCCCCCCTCCAGGAACTGGATCAACATACTACAACTACAAACATACATTTTCCATAGTGCTAATGGCACTGGTCGACAGCAACTACAAGTTCTTGTATGTAGATGTAGGTTGTAATGGGAGGATTTCAGATGGTGGTGTGTTTGGTGGTTGCTCACTGCAGGATGCCCTGGAGAATAGGACAGCCAACATCCCTGCACCTGCACCACTTCCTGCTTCTGACCAGGCGGTTTGTTACTCCATTGTGGCAGATGAGGCATTTCCCCTGAAGGAGCTCCTGATGAAGCCCTATCCGAACCGCAGGCTAGCTGTAGAGCAACGCATCTTCAACTACAGGCTGTCGCGGGCTCGGAGGGTGGTAGAAAATGCCTTTGGCATCCAAGCTAACCGTTTTCGGGTCTTTCTCACCACCATAAACATTCAAGACACTGCCAAAGTGGAGGCCATTGTTTTGGCTTGCTGTGGTCTGCACAACTTCCTGCTCACAGAGAACTGTAGCGCATACATGGCGGGAGTTGTTGACCAGGAAGGACCCGATCATGGCACTGTCCCAGGAAGATGGAGACAAGACCCTGAACTATGGCAGGCCACCCTGCCACACACCACCAATAATCCAGCTCGAGCCAAGCAGCACAGGGATGAACTATGCCAATATTTTAACGGTGTCGGTGCAGTGCCTTTTCAGTGGGATAAGATATAGCAAATATGTCTGTACTAGAACTGTACTATGTCAACAATCGACTACAATACGATAAAAATAGTGTGTAATACAATAAAAAAAAGACTTTGTCAAATATGTCTAATGCTGTGTTATCAATGGCCGGGAGGCGTCCGAAGGTGTGAAAAGGTGCCGTAAAGAAACGACGGTGCGGGACACACAAATCTGAGTAGGGCGCCGCGAATGCCCGACTGCCTCTGACAGCCTCTGACGGCCTCTGACTCCCAAAATCGGACTGGTGTGTCCGGGCCTTAAAGTAACAGACAGAGAATCAGCACTTTTGAAACAGGGCTGAAACAGAGGGGATTATGGGATGCTGCAATGATCTGTTTGGTGTTTGGAGCCAAACACTTCAGAGACATGCTTTGTATATATCTGAGACCTGTAATATATTGATGAAAAACAGTAAAATAGGGGACCTTTAAGTGTATAACTTTTTTTTAGGATCATGTCCAGTCAAATGTAACCAAACATGATCTAGCTTAAAAACCCTGTACTTGACTCTGTTAGTCTCATTTGTGAACTTGTGACCCTCTGGTTGTTCGCGTGTGGTCACCCTGCTGCTTTGCTTCAACAAGAGTTCAGTATTCAGGGTAGCTAAGTTTTCCCTGGTGGACCAAAACCATAGAAATTCAGCAGATTGAAACACTTCACGGTTTATTGGTCGAGGTAAAGTAGAGGCCTCTGTTTGCTCAGAGCAGCTGGTCATGAGACGGAGATGACTCACAGTCAGCTGTGACCCTCCTTCACTCCGGCAACCATCGATTATTCCAGCAAAGGGCTCTTTCATTACAGGTACACACACACACACACACACACACACTGGAATAAGTGCATCCATGCATTGGTGAACAGTTTTGTGAGCAGGTAGACACATCCTTATATGGTAAATGCATGCATGATTCAACTGTTGCATTAGCAGCTGCATCAAAGATCTTCTATGTGGCTAGACTGTAGTATTTGGTGCTAAAACTGAAGCTAAATATGAAATACAGTATAATCAAATATGTCTACAGGTGATGGGTGCTTCGGAATTGTAAGGGTACATAAGTAAACACTGCAGTCTACTTACTGCTTTTATATATCAGTATAATCATTATAGCAATGTGCACTCATGCATGTGCACAAACACTATTGTAGTTTCTCATAGTTTTCTAGTTTTTCAACGGTTAATTTGACCGTAAAAGCATTTTGACAAGCAACAACTCTTCTGAATATATTTTTCCTTGAATTGAATGTGTCAGGTTTTCTCTTAGGTTACATGTGAACCCTGCCTCGTTCACTTCAAAAAAGCCTTTGTGCAAAGATTTGTAGATCAGGTAAAGTGCAGAACAGTCACAAGTGTCAATCACCGTCATTTCCTAACTGTAATAAAGAAACTACACTACATAAATGAACTGCATTGACTTGTATTGCTGCTTGAATCAGTGAAATAGGTGTCTTTTGAGATTACTTTGGGGCATGTTTGCCTTTATTTCACTGTGGACTCTTCAGACATTGAGGAGAGAGAGAGAAGGGTATGGCATGCAGCGAAGGTCACAAGCCGAATGTGAACCCGGGTCGCTGCAGTTCACTGGCATCCAAGAAGCTCCAAAAATAGAAGCATGTTTTTTCTGTGCAGCGCTGCGGCAACATGCAAAGAAGTGCTTGGTAAATTCTAGTTAAATCCATTAGTGATGGTTGTTGAATGCTTTGAAGAAAAATAGAGCACTTCTGCAAAACAAAAAAATCCATTGTGTAAGTGCAATGCCAAATCAACTACATTGGCCAATCAAATGCATGCAAGCTCACATACAGTACATTGGAAATTCATCATTTTATTGTATTTTACCATATCATGGGACTTCTCCTTCTCCCCCCACCATAATTGGATTAGGTCCATTATATCAACTACACCATTATATGTATGGGGTTTATGGGTTTATGCTAAATTATGCTGTTTAAGTAAGTGAAATTAATCTGCATTATCTCCCTTGCTGGTTGAACTAGTGTAACCCTCTGTGATCAATTATTTAAAATGTTGATTCCAACGTTAATCATCATAAAATGTCTAATATTACCGCACTCAGCCGTTCTATTCTGAGCCACTGAGATATCCGTGGTTTCGGACTGCAGCACACGTTGTGACCGATTCATTACGACTGCCAAGAGGGCACATGTGGATCACTCTTTTGTTTCAAGTAGCCATTGGCTGTTTAAAAAGTCATAGGGGTTGCCAGATGACATCACAACGTAATTAGCACATCAATGCATTTGCTACACCACTTCTGTGTTTCCCAGGCAGGCAGAATGTAAAGCACTATTGACAAAAAAGTCATTCAGATCAACTGCAGCAATTTTCTCTTCATCTCTAGGATATTTTCTGAGCGTTGGGAAAGTGTTTGTCGCTTTTAAGAAATGATGTCACCAGCGCCACATTTACAAGCGCTGCATGCTACGTCACCTAAAAGCTTTCCATACATGCAGAGCCATACGTACAGGCACTCACATGTATCTGTCTCGCTCTCATTCCCTCCCCCCCGCTCTGATGGATCGCAGCTTTAATGTTCCCCTGAGACTCAGATGCTGCTTGCCAAGGTTCCAGCAAACGGTTAACAAACTGTACTCAGGTCAGCTGAACCTGGCCACCCATCGCTGAGATGAGCAGATGACGTGTTCCTCAGATGGGATACAGCAGAGTCCTGACTCATCTAATGTACAGTTGATGGATGTGGGAAACACAGAGGGATTGACCTTTATTTGTGTCCGTGTCTCTCAAGTTCAATTCTCGGTAACTCCTATGTGCTTTGTCAGATTTGTGTTAGTGTATATTTTGGACTGGCTGACTCACCCAACCTCCCTTTTCTAAAGCAAAATTCCTAGTCGTGTGTCATTGGTTTAACCATAAATAACAGGAAAATGTATGTTATCAGATTATGCTTTCCATATGTCTCAAAATGTGTTTATTCTCATACTTCCACTTGCTTTATGTTGTCCCCATTATCAACAATCACCCATATTGGAAACTTGATGAAGAAAATAACAAGCAGTTGAACCACAGCTTTCTGTCAATATCAATGTGTTGGTTACTTTGGGCTTGTGATCATTGTAACACATTTTCGTACCATTTGGTTTGTTCGCGCAAAAATCTAGCAGGAACGTTTATTCCTATTATTAATATTGGCCGAGTACAGTAGACTTCACAAGCCAAATCTTATTCCCAACGGTCACGAATGACCCTTTGGGATCATTTTTTAACGTAGCCCTTTGTGTCAAACGATAATACTCCGCTACACTGGCAGCTATACACCCTCGCTTATCGTTATGAATTTAAACAACACTACTTGGTTATGTTTAGGCAACACAACTACTTGGTTAGCTTGAGGAAAACTTTGTGGTTTGGGTTCAAATAAGTGTTTGTTATCCAAGTTTTGTCACAAACTTACGTTTACTCGTCAACTAAAATAGGTCCATGTTGATTTTTGTTTTCAGACAAAGAGCAGTCTGATGGTGAACGTCATGTGTTTGTGGGACCAATCCCTACACCACTAAGTTAATTAACTTCCTTGTTTGTCAGTACTGAGGGCTATGACAAAGCAATGGTATTTGACGATCTACGATATGAGGCTGTTCTGGTTCAACACAAAGTGACTGATATATGACAGATGGATGTTGGACGGAAGAAAAGCAGACATTGGAAATTATTACATTACATTACATGTTAGACGCTTTTATCCAAAGCGATTTACATACTCAATACTGTGGGCAATCCCCACAGGAGCAATTTGGGGTGAAGTGTCTCAGGGACACAACGACATGCTGACTGCAGTGGGGTTTGAACCTGTGACCCCCTGATCCAAACACCAACGCACAACCCACTGCGCCACACACCTCCACGAAATGAAAACAAATTGGGACCAGAACCATCTAAACCTGAACCTGGGAACACTGTCAATGTAGTATCACTTTACACAAAAGCCTTCAGACATGGTTACATTTTTCAGGAGTTGAATATCAGCTGTACTTACAGCAGAGCTTCATAAACATGCTACATGTTTAAAGGCTGTGACGCCTTGATGCATATGTAAAAATTAAGCTTATCTCGTCTATGATACCATACGAAACTAAACCCTTTAAAACAAATGTGTGTACCACAGTTCAACTCCTCTCTGTCTCCATGAGTATAGCATGATTACTACTTTTGGACCAAGTCTTGTGTTTTCATGCAACTATGTAAACACCACGTGAGAGTTTTGCAGCTCCCCTTTTAATTGCTACCCATCCAGGGAAAGTGGCCTGAATCTGCTTACTCATGTTCGGCTAAGAGTTTCCTGTTCACTCAAGTCATCCAATATAACTACCCTCGAACTGTTGGACTGTGGGGAATCGAAAACCTTGTTAAAGATGCACTTAAGGGAAGGTGTTAAAAGGTTGAAGAACATTCAGTTTCCTCATGAATTAAAGCAGTATTCCTGTCATATGTTTGCTCCATGAATTCAATGTCCTTAATGGTCTGGGTCTTATGATTCTGATTCATCTACAGTGCATCGAAACCCAAGATCACTAAGACATGTGATGAAATGAACCAATTACATGAACTGCATGTGAGTCGCTCCACAGACTGTTGCTCATTGGGCCTGCTCTACGCTTCTTACATACTGTACTTTCCTTCACCCTGAATATCTTTGCATTTTGATTAGCCGCAAGTGACAGGCATTTGGGGAGCCACACACTGAATATGTTAGCAAAATCAAATCTCTCATGCATCCAAATGGTACCAAACGGCCTAGATTTGCGAGATGATCAATCAGAAGCGTGGACACAACAACATGCACAGCGTCTTACTCATTCTGTTACTTGTTATTATGCTATCTGACTATTAATTCCAATTGGCAACAACAAAACTTTTTCTACCCTAATTGCAACTGTGTATTTCTAATCAGGCACCAGGCACAGTTTGTGAATTAAAAAGCTGGCCATTATCTGCTGTGCAAAGAATTTTCGGACAGCTAATTAAAAGTGAGTGACTATTTTTTGGCATGGTTTCCAAATGCAGGATTTTAAAATAGGTGTGTTGGAAGGAAACAGCAACGGTTTGTTTTCTTGATCCCTAATATATTCTGTAGTGACACTTTCACAAAAGGACTCTTTTACCATGACTAGAAATCCCACTTAGTCAAAGTTCTGGTTTGGGATGCTGTGAAATGATAGGATTACTGCACCCACTTAAACATATGTAGATACTAACAGAAACGTTAATGAAATAGAATAAATGCATATCCAATTATGTTTAACAATATGCAATAACTTCTTGGTCTTTCAGGAAATGTAAAATTGCAAAACTCTCACACAAACAGTGAACAGTACAGTGCATAAGACATACACAAATAAACACGTGAATAATGTCTGACCGGTACAAAGCAGAGCTGCTTATCTGTCTGCTGTTCATGCTCATTACTGTGTTGCTATGGATTCATCCTGGTACAGACCAGCATCCCACGTGCATTGCCACCAACATCTGTCACTGCTTCATGGCAACAACACTGATTCTATAATGTCGTATGACTCATCGAATGCAAAGATAGCATGACTACGATTTCCAAGAACGTGAGGTGTGCAGGAATTTGATTCATGGCGCTAAATATACAGAGTTTCATAGAGCATGACGGAGTGATGACAGAACACAAGTGGCACTTAAGGTTGACACAGAGAAATACGGGCTTTCATATCAAGAGCCAATATGAATGAGCCTCTGTAGTGTGATGAATGGAAGTCAAGTCAAGTGATAATTTGTTGTCTATGGCAGGGGTTTTCAAACTTTCCGACGAAATAAGGGACATTTTCAAAAGGACCTGCTCATAATCTTACACAGTTTCAAAAGGTCCTTTTATGCTTTTGGGTTTTTTCCATTTCCTGTAATGTGTAATATAGGTTTTTTTTGTGCAACAAAAATCAACAGAAAAAGACAGACAGGACGTAAACACTAAAGGGAACAAGAGAAGAAGACAGACAGGAAGTAAACACTAACAAGAACAGCAGAAGAAGATAGACAGCAAGTAAACACTAACAGCAGAAGAAGACAAACAGGAAGTTAACACTAAAGGGAACAGCTGAAGAAGACAGACAAACAGGAAGTTAACACTAAAGGGAACAGCAGAAGAAGACAGACAGGAAGTTAACAATAAAGGGAACAAGAGAAGAAGACATACAGGAAGTAAACACTAAAGGGAACAAGAGAAGAAGACATACAGGAAGTAAACACTAAAGGGAACAGCAGAAGAAGACAAACAGGAAGTTAACACTAAAGGGAACAGCTGAAGAAGACAGACAAACAGGAAGTTAACACTAAAGGGAACAGCAGAAGAAGACAGACAGGAAGTTAACAATAAAGGGAACAAGAGAAGAAGACATACAGGAAGTAAACACTAAAGGGAACAAGAGAAGAAGACATACAGGAAGCAAACACTAAAGGGAACAAGAGAAGAAGACATACAGGAAGTAAACACTAAAGGGAACAGCAGAAGAAGACAAACAGGAAGTTAACAATAAAGGGAACAAGAGAAGAAGACATACAGGAAGCAAACACTAAAGGGAACAAGAGAAGAAGACAGACAGGAAGTAAACACTAAAGGGAACAGCAGAAGAAGAGAGTCAGGAAGTAAACATTAACAGGAACATGGTAAGGACTCTGGCAGTGTTTAATGGAAAAGAAAAAGTGGACAGACTTGGACAGTTACAGAAAACCTTGATCAGTGCCGTCAAGTTATAATTCCATTACTATAATAATTATTCAAGTTATAATGTTGTTGCCGCACTTTGAGCCGTCGGTACGCAGTAGAACGGACACATGTTTTCTTAGTGGAAGCAAAAAAAAGATTGTATCATTATGTCTGTTTTTTTTTTTTATTATGACCGCCTTCCTGCATATCCATTGATTTACAGTAAATACTCTATTGTCCCTGCACTACTTATAAGGTCACCAATGATTCACTGATGCTTTAGGGAAGCATGACTCTTCCCTCTTCTATTACTTATCTGTGTCACAACAGAGACCTGTCCATGTGCTCTCTGTCCCTGAACCCTGTGGACTCATGACAGAATGTGATGCTGCTGAGTGCTGCAAATGTGCCCACAGCTGAGATCTCAACAAAAGAGTCTCCGTTGTGGAGGCGCTGGACCAGGCCGATGGCTCCAACAATGGTGCTCTGTTTCCAAATATGTTGTTTGTCACATCGCCTGCCTTTAACTCGTCAAAGCCGCTGTTGTTCTGCTTCATTTTCAACTTTATCCCACATCTTATGCAACTGGATATGTAGTTTTACTCACATGTACTGTAAGCTTAATACTAGCTCTGTGTTAGTCATAGTGTTTTGATTGACATTGAATTAGAATTTTTTCTGCTGAAAGGCGGAATTTTTAATTAATTAACGTGTAGTTTATCATAATAGCTGAAAGGAAGTAGGCAATTTAACTCCTCACTTAACAAAGGAAGCTTAATTCCTTCACAGACCGGATCACATGTATTTTAAAGCCCTGGAATAATGAAGTTTTTAAGTTTTATGACATGACATTTTACAAATTAAGTTTTTATGCTATGTGATAAAGCCTGAAGCAGAGCACATATCGGGGGCATAAATCTGCTCATATATCAACATGTAGGGCCTATTACCTCTGATTAATATTCATGCTTCTTTGATCTGTGGGTGAGGAGGAGAGGGGGGGTGTACTGATCCCTGCAGAGCAATGATTATCTACAATCAAAGAAGGGGAAAAGGCAAATAGATTTCTGAAAGAGTGCCAGTGTGTATTTTTAGGATGTCATTCAAGAGCTGTGAGATATATATTGGGATCTTATATTAGAAATTCTCACCATGCATCGTGGGTGGCACACACTTCTTCTTCTGCTGCTTCTAGAGGAAATGAGTAACTCGACATTGTGGTTTCAAGATCGTAATCGAGAAACAGTGTACACGATTTGGTGCAAGAGAAGTAAGCTCTCTTTTGTAGAATGAGAGAGCCACAGGTGAAGTTAAAACACACACACACAGACACACACACACACACACACGCACATTCATACTATCTCCAGCAGGAGCAAATCTGTCCCTCATGATATGCCTCAAGCTGCTGCCACTACAATAACCTGCACAGCATTTTATGAATAATCATCTTTATGGCAACTCTATTATAATTTAATAGCTTATTAAACTGTCTCCACTGTCACAGGGAGACTCATAATAATACTCATGGATCTCTGGACAGCCATGAAAAGAAGAAGTCTGTGTGATTTGTTTCATAGACTGCAGAAATTGATCAGATGTGTTGACGATCCCCCTGAGTGTAGACGCACTCCGAATATTACGCACAGAAACTGAGCCAAAGTGAGACTTTACACACAAGACAGGATGTGTCAGTAGTGTGCGTGAGAAATGAAAAGAGAAGTGCGTGTATTTGGAGACTGAAGCGCGGAATAGAGCGCATCTCTCGCTGCTGCCGCTACTCTGGAGCAGCTCACGCTTGATTCAGTAGAAAAGTCGACTTCCTCGTTTTGGTACGAGACCATTCCGTACTATATAGCGCTCTAAAAATAGCGCTGATCTAGCCCAATGGGAGCTGGAGACACTCCGGACCTCGCACCAACCACAACAGACAGGATGAGTCTGCTGTGGCTTCCCATTGGGCAGGGGTGGTGTTGTAGGCGGGTCATGCGCTCCCGTGAGCCCATTGGTAGACGTGCCGAAACGTAATGTAATCACATGGGGGTGGGCTTATGTGTAATTTTGAATCGGGGGGGAAGTTTACAGTGACTTTTGGAGAGTTCAGTGTTGTGCGCTCTCTCAGTGCGTCACACGCTCCAAACCTTCACTGCAAGCGCGCGCCTGCAGACTCTCATACATGCAAACACTGCTCTCTCGGAAGCTTCGTTTCACCACTTGATTTCGCTTCTACTTGTGGCTGCATCTCAGGAGTGAAATGGATGTCCTCCCTATGTGTAGCATCTTCCAGGAGCTCCAGATCGTGCACGACACCGGATACTTTTCAGCTTTACCGTCTCTGGAAGAGTACTGGCAGCAGGTAAAGAGTCCGGTGATCCCTCCATCCAAACGCACGGCTTGACAGATCGTTGCGTGACGATTTGTTTGGTTTGTGCGAGGAATGTGCGTAATTTCAGGGAAACTTGTTTTTAAAATGACAGCTGCGTGCAGATGTGCGAATGTCAAAGTTGTTGGCGGAACTCTGCGTTTGATTTAGTGCAAAAGTTAACAATCATTTCCCTTTTTAAATCCGGATTGCATGTTTATTTTAAGGGAAGTATTGCAAGTTCCCTTAAAGAACGATTACTCAATACGAACATTTCTATGACATGTTCGTATCCTCTAAGACTTTTTGTGGTACAGCATGTTGACTTAAAAGTGCCATTTTATACTTTATAGGATCATTTGGATTTATTCACAAATGACAATAATATCGCTATGATGTGACTCGTAGTTTTTAGCACTCGTGTTTTCTGTTACGATCATGTTTAAAAAACATGTTGTTGCAGAACTTTTTATAGGATCATGCTTTCAGGTTGTAGAGGCACATCTGCTTGTGATAAAATAAAAACACGTTGTGTGCACATTTCACGAGTAGCGAGACTTGCGTTATTGCGCGTATCTCCGCCTCCTCTCTTTCCTCTCCACCTCTCTACCTCTCTGTCTCTCGCTTGCTCTTGCACAGAAACACACACACACACACACACACACACACACACACACACACACACACACACACACACACACACACACACACACACACACACACACACACACACACGAGAGTGACAGACTGACAGACAGAGGCTGATTTCTGGTCCAATTTGGCTCGACAAAGCGGCCCCTCTGACGACAGAACAGTGGAGTTTTATTCTGGAAACGAGAGGAGGGCGAAAGTCTCTTGTTGTTCGGGTTGGGAAATGAAATGAATTGGCAACACGCTTCGCTCTGCTTCTATCTCTCCGTCTATCAGATATCTTCGGGCTTCGAGCCAAGTCGCCCTCCCAGGCATTTAAAGCTCGCCTGGGATTTATCCAGCACTGCAGACTAAAAACATTTGCCCTGCAAGCATTCTCTCTCATTACCAAATGACTAGCATGTTCCCACAACATTCCTATTTTAGACTTAAAGTGTTTGTGAGACATGTCAGTGACCCTTTTATACCACAGGCAATGAGAAAGCATGTTTCTGATAAATCAATGCTTTTTTGACACCTTGCCATGCTTTATGGACGTTTTTTTTTTTTTATGTTATAGTGCCTGTCCTTCTGTATCAAGGTTACCTCAGAGTGTAGACACTTTTAAATAATGGCTGTACTAATGGCTGTAGCTAGGAATGCATGACACTGTATGTTGCTGTGCATCAGAGCAGCCTTTAGACATACACAACGCTCTCACTGAGTTTCATTTTAATATTTCAGAGTCCTGGAAAGGATAAAACTCTCCAGTATTCAACTTAAACTTTTAAAATGTCATTCAATTTTTAAGAAAGGTTGTAATTCTTGTAGATTGACTGTCTAATTTCCCAACTTGGGATAAATAAAGTCTATCTATCTATCATAAATAAGGTTTGAGAAAGCAAGAAGAAAACATTTAAGACGTTTTTCTTCTAACTTAACTTACTCAGTTCACGACCCTTCATATGTATTGCCTCAAGCCAACACTGTTGCGTGTGGTTCTATTGTAGTATCAAATTATATTCAAATAAAAATCAGCCTCATTTGGAAACTGCACAGGCCTGTTAGCGGCGCTCATATCTGGCCTGCGCTGACTGACTGCAGCGGAGGTTGAGGAAGTGCTCTCTCACTTCCTTTTCAAAGAAAAATAAGCCCACAATCCTCAGCAGCTCTTGCAGTATTCATGCCAGGCTTTTTATGGACCCCCATGAACCAGACCTCCCTCCTCTCGGTCCCTGGTGTGCTATGTTATTTCTAGCGATGCCTCCAAATGCATTATTAAATCCACATTATGCTGAATAATTGATAGATTTAAAAAGATCTACAAGCACTTCCCTAACCCAACGGGGGGGCTCTGTAGCATATGTAAATTTCATGACCAACACGCACACAACCATGCGAGCGTTCACGGGTAAGAGCACCTTGTTCTTGCATGCTCTCAGAAGGAAATGTGGAGCTTGTAATCATCCCTGATATGGCCTCAGAGGGCACCCGTAGAACATATATGACTCTCTTCCTAGGACATTGTGTCGTCCCTGTTTCCTGCAGAAAGGAAGGAAGTAGGGCCAGTGGTGCGACAGTGTCACAGCACTTCCCCCCCCCCCCCCCCCCCCCTGCTGCTACTGCTTCTAAGAATAAACACAGTGTAGGGAAGAACACCAGCGTTTGTGTAAGACTTGTAGAAGAGCTTGTTGTGTTGCAGGCCTCAGGCACCTGAACTCACTGCTATCTCATCTTCCCTCCACACAGACATGCCTGGAGCTGGAGCGGGTACCTCCAGAGCGAGCCCTACGTCTCGGCCACAGAGCTCAAGTTTGAGAGCCAGGAGGACCTGTGGGGCAAGCTGATGATTGCCTGCGGGGACAAGAAAAAAGAGTCGGACCCAAAGATCCCCCACATCAAGGAGGAAGAAGACAATCAGGACAGCACGCACATGGACGCCGGCGGCTTCAACTCCGACGCCAGCAGCGAGGCCTCGGACAGCTCAGAGGAGCTCTCCCCCGCCCTCGAATTCTCCTCCAGCCCTTTGACTGACATTCTGGGAGACGTTGGCGAAGAACTGGGCTCGGCCGTCATCAGCACGCCGCCCTCCTCACCCGAGCTGAGCAAGGAGGGCACTGTGGCCCAGGTGTGGAGTGGGATACAGACTGTGCTGCACTCACCTGGGAAAATTAGGACTGGGGGCATTGAGAGGTCGGGGCTGACCAGCGGAGAGGCGTCACCTGACGGCAGGAGGCGGGTGCACAGGTGTCACTTCAACGGATGCAGGAAGGTGTACACCAAGAGCTCGCACCTCAAAGCACACCAGCGCACACACACAGGTAACACAGTTTGACAGTGGGATGTGTTTTTGACGCTGTGATGCAAATGTCATGAGGGAAAACTCACCTCAGGTTTTTTTTATTTAAATCACAAAGTAAATATTAAAACACTCATCTAGAGAGCTGGAATCTCTGAACAGTGTGAACTAAAGTGTTGATTTATTGCGCAAAGTGCTGGTAATGCTACCACATACTTTGAATAGTTTGTCAGGAGGAAACCCTCCACTGTGACCTAATTCACACAGAGGAACATGACTTCATGCTAGGGAGGAGGGAGCGGGAGACGGGAGAGGGAGGGATGTTTCTTTTGTGGCCGAGCGGCACCCAGAGGATGTGGATCCTGAAAACAAATCAACAGTTCTCAGGTTTCACCATGGGAAATACTCAGACTCTCAAGCGTTTGCATTCACAGTAGTAAAAGAAAAAAAAGGAGAAATTATGGGAATCTGACATTTGTAGTGTTTTGTCCACGGTTCAAAAGTGAGCAGTTTCCCTCGTCAACTCTGACCTTCGCCAGGCTGTTTACAGCTGTGCTGCCCATTAGCAGAGGAAGTCACATTCCCAGCATCCTTCACTGACCATGTTATAGCCACATGGTTAATGGCCTTCAGGACCATTAGGAACAAGCTCTATTTTCTCCTGCAGCTATTCCCCGTTACATAAGCTGTCTACTCGAGCAGCTCCTTAAAGCTGCATACCACCGATCTGAAAACCCACAAGGCACGAGGTTGTTTTTCTCGATTTCTTACAGTAGTCAGCTCAATCTGCTTAGCCTGATCCGGCTTGTAGTTTTTCTTTGAAATCAGCATTGTAAGACCTCTCGGAAAAGTAAAAACAGTTAATATTGGCTACACATTTAAGATGTTGAATTACAAATGGTCAGATATTGTGACGTACACTTATAGCAATTGTGAAAGGGCAAATAATCAAAGGTACACAGTACAGTACAGTAGTAGAGCATTAGCAGAAATATTTATAGTGGTGTCTAAGGTTATGAAATCTTTTAACAGCTTCTGACAAATGATGCACTTCCTTAACAATTATTTTCATTCTTTGGTTCGTAGGTGAGAAGCCCTACAGGTGTTCATGGGAGGGCTGCGAGTGGCGCTTTGCACGGAGCGATGAACTCACCAGACACTTCAGAAAGCACACTGGAGCGAAGCCATTCAAATGCAGCCACTGCGACAGGTGAGAGAGCTGCAAAGTCAATACCCCTGAGTGACCTTTTAATAAATACTAACATTGAAAAAACTAGGATTGTCAAGATTATAAGCAACTGAGGAAGTTAAGACTTGTTGGTTTATACAGAATATTTACTTCTAAACATCACAGTGAAGCTGTAATCCCCCTCCTCTTAACACGTGGCTCTAAGCACTCTTTTATAAAACCACAACTTATGGATGCAAACTAGTTTCTGAAAATGTCAGGTAGAGGGGTGAATGAGGGTCAACAATGGACTAATGAAAGGGTACAGAGGTCAAGAGGTTGGGTGAAAAGAGAGTGGAGTACAAAGGGTTGAGTGGAACTCTTTGATGAGTAAAAACCAGAAGGTGTTGTGACAGAAAAACAAATAAATGAGACTGGGTTACATCTCAATGATCCACTGGGACTCTATTGTTCCCTAGGGACCTCTTGTAACGTCAGATAGGCGTTAGACAAACTTATATAGGTTGTAACCGGAAGCCAGATAAGAGCGATGCATTGGTTTTGTCCCTGAACCTAGTACCATGTTCATCTGATAGCTTATAGACCAAGGGTTTTTAAGGTCTGAAACGGCAAGTCTTCCCTTACACAATGCTTTGAAAGAGGCATTTCCTGTACCCTAACCCTAAGCACTCTCAGTTTACTTTCTAAGATTCCCTACATTTTTGGATGCCTATGGGTATATGATTATATGACTTTATCCCAAAGACATTCAGAAATTGAGCCAAGTTAACCCTAATATTGCTCTGCGACACTATTTCAAACAAAACCAATTACGTTAAAAGGTCTGTCTGAAGGCATCCATTAGATTCTGACTTTTATAAAAGTGGGAAATAGGCGACATTCCCGAAAACCCCTGTCTCAATTAACTATATCTTTAACCAATCGTAGACATACAGGCTGGTATATCCTTTGGTATATATAGACTAAGGAGTAGGTAAAACAATCCAGCTCTGCGTCCTAGTTGGAAATATGAGACATTTTTGTCAACCAAGATATCTTTCAGCAGTGCACAAATAACTGCAGACAAGAGCCGAGTTTCTCAAATCCATCAACTAAATCTTCTCTTCCCTCCTCAGGTGTTTCTCCCGTTCTGACCACCTGGCACTGCACATGAAGAGGCACATCTAAGATGGCCTCTGTGTCGAGATCTCTGAGGGATGATTCTGGTTGATTGTCCTGACCTGTGGGGGGATCAGCGAGGCTCGGTGTGTCCTGGGAGCGTTAACACACCGCCGTGTTCCAGTCAGTGGAAAAAGATGAACCAACGCAGGCTATTATTTGCACCATACTTAGTGCCTCCAACACCTCGCTGTGGAGATTGCTCTTGAAAGGCTTTTATGGAGGAGTGGGGGAGGGGGGGGGGGAAGGGAGTGCAGGAAGAGACTTGAAAAAAAAAGTTTAAAGAACTGGAAAGATCTGGGCTGGAGTAGACGGGAAGAGACTCTTCTGTATGGTGTTCAACGCTTTTTTCCCGGAGGATTATGGGACTCCCGCGGGGGGGGGGGGTCGATCCTCTAATGACAGTGTGTGTGCCTGTACGCATGGGGACTGTGAGTGCCTGAGACTGGATGCCTGTGCTGGCTTTAAGGAGCGGATGGAGTTGCATTGTGGGACTGCGAGTGAATGACATGGAAGGGGTGATGTTACACAAGGGAGGTTTATCTTTGGGGGGATTTGTGTGGTCTCACTGAGAATGAATGCAAGGTGTTCTGTCTGTGCTGTTTGAGTCTATTGGCTGTGGATGGGAGTAGGGGCTTGTTTTGTGGAGCTCCCCCTTTCTGCTCGGAGGTGGAACTACAGCGCCCTATCCACACACGGGAGGTCGTTTTGTTTAGTGCAGCTATTAAATGTGCAATGTATTACGTAGCTCAAAAACATACATGCTATAAAGCTCATTTTGTTGTCCATTGTGTAAGCTCTGTATCTTAAAAAAAAAAAACTTTCAAAAAAAACTACGGTTGTACACAAACAGTTATTGCCATTATAACAGAAGTTGCATGGGATCTGGGGATGTGTTGCTCACCTGTTTGCTTATAGGACAACAAAATCCATTCGAGAGCAGCTACCTTCATATTACTCAATATCATAGTATTGTACAAAACACTTAAGGCAGTCATTTTGTGTTGTTATGTTCTCGAAAAGTTGGGGATACCACTATTGCTTGGCAACTGTCTTGTTCATGGAATTTTTGTTGCTTTTTCTTCACTTTTGCTCTTCTCTTTTTTTCTATCTGTGAATGCACTGTTGACCTTACTGATGCCTTATGTAAGTGGCCTTGTCCTGTTAAATAGATGTCTCTCTCTTTCACACAAACACAAAAAAACGGGGGCTGCGAATGCACTAGTGCGTTAATGAATTGCTTTATAAAGGCTCTGATCCATGCAGTCGCACCTTTTTGCCCTTTTGTCTCGCAGCAGACTCCTCTGAAACTCAAAATAATAAAAGAAAAAAAACAATTATCAGCTTAATAATGACTGCCATTTTAACATGTCTGTGCATTCTTTGTTAAACATATCGTAACTATATCAAATCTTAAATTATATTCTCCAAAACATGACCCCGCTCTGAGACAGAATGGTGTAGCACAAAATGTACTACTATGTAGTATAAGGTGGCGTGGATGCACTTCAGATGGACTGTAACTGGCTGTCAAATGTACAGAGGTCATTTGGCATGCTCAGCCACCATGGTTGAGACAAATTAGGATTTTCTGCAAGGATAACTATTATATTTGGGCCATTTATATCTGTTGACGTGTCAAACGCTTAAAGTCTTCAAAGAAAATGATGTGTCCTTAAGAATAATGACAACACTCTCAATCATGAGTCTGTATTGATGTATGTTTTGGTAGGTTTCGCCCTCAGCCAGGGTGAGTGAGTATCTTTACTCAGCCCTGGTTTAAACAACCCGTGATCTGACCAATAACCAGTTGAGCCGAGCTGCAGCTGTAGAGGTCTGTCTGTGTCTGAGATGAGACCAGGACCAGATGTATGTCTGTACCAACTTCACTATATGCATGTTTTAACTTAAGTTTCTGTACATGACTTCAACACACTTCTTTGTGGGTTGATAGAACTCTGAGCTTTCACATTTGTACAATTTGACAAACTCTGTCACAATTTTCCCTATTTCTAGAAAACATTTTGGAGCATTATTGGATAAAGTTTTGTTGGAAATGGAAAGAGAAGAACCTGTTGGTGTCTGTTGCTCAGTACTCAATCTCACAATTGTACAGGTAACCTGGTCAACATCAAAGAAAGTCCATACACTGAGAAATGTCTAAAATGCAAAGATATGTACATTGTAAACTAAGAGAATTTTGTAAGGAAGCTTCTATTTTGAAAGGGTATGGGACCAAAAACAAGTGCAGTGTAATGTTTCTAAAGATGACCCAATAAAGACTGAGAGGCTGAGGAAATATTGTAAAATAGTCACACTCCATTCTACTTCATTTGCTTCTGTAACATCTTTGATTGGGTGAAGGTAGGGCAAATGTATGTGTATACACCTGTGGCCTATCATCTTTCAAGAAAAAAAACTAACAAAACAAAAAAAAAACGTTTCAGACGTGAATTGTTCTGGACACTTGAATTGTCATCATTTTTGCATTCTGTTGCGCGCTAAGTATTACATTTGTTTATTTGCCATGTGTTTTTTTCTTTCTCTCAACCTTCGCAAAGAGGCCCTATCTTTAGCCAGAAGATCTTTATTGGATAACAATGGAGATAAAATACGAAGCTCTATTTTTGTTTTTGTTTATTGCATAACAAGATTTTTTCATTTGAAATTGTTTTGTAAAATAGTTTCTGTATGAATGTATTTTTTATTGGAAAATCGATAAAAAGAATTTATTGGATCTACATGTGGTTTTTGTTTTCTTTTATCATGGATCCCTCCAGGGACACAGTCATACAGGAAGTCAGTGTTTATGGGATATTAAGTCGATTCCTGAAGGAGACATTATTTATTTTACCCCCTTTCCCCATAGAGGTCAAAGATCATTCTTCTACAGAACTGCACCATACTGGACTGGGTTCAACAAGTAGAACCAGGGATACTCTTTTACAGAAGATGGCTTTTTCAAGAAACAAACATTTGCCAGTCAATGCTATCAGTAATAAAAACATTGCCTGGTGTTATTCCTATTAGTTACAACAGATCACATACCAAAAAAAACGAACGTAGTGAAGCGTTGGTACGTTTCTCAATCGGTCAAAATTCCTAATATTATAATGTTATCCTAATGTACAAAACATTTTGAAAAGGCTTGGTAATTTCCCAAAAACAGTTGAACACTCACACGGGAACAGATTCTGCATGTGTTAGGGACTATTTTCAGCAGCGGAATATATCAAAATAGATTTAAGAGAAGTCTATTGGGGCCAGAACCACAAGAAGGCACTTCACATTAAACACACGCTAAAACAAAAAGAATGGTGACACAAACTTTCCATCACCAGTTTCCTTCTTCTGACCTTAAATGGTTACTTTAGTGCAAACAGAGTTTTTGCATTGAGTGGATTGATTATTCTGAAATTGTTGCCATGCTTGTTAAACATTCGGACAAAACGGTTAGGGATAGGGTTAGGGATAATCTAAATATACTGCTGACTTCCTTAAACGTTATTTCCCAGTTTTGTGATTAAGAGTTAATTTTCCTTTTGTTACCATATCTCAGGAAGTACTTTCTGATTAAAGCATGATCATAACCAACATAAATGGTGGCCACAACGTTTAAAATAGGACCCCAGTTCATAATAAACTGATATTGTTATTTAAATATAGTGATCCAAGGATGCAGATCTACCTACACTGAAAAAACTGAAGCGTTGAATTGACTTAAATGCAGGGGCGGACTGGCCATCGGGACGTTTGGGACGAATCCCGATGGGCCGACACTGAAGTGGGCCGGTCGGACGATGTGGGCCGGTCGGATAAGTCACTAGCATGCTTTCAACTAAGCGAATACCTTTATGTGAAATCTGTTGACATAGCGTATTTAAAGGGGACCTATCATGCAAAATGCACTTTTGTACGTCTTTTATACATGAATATGTGTCCCCGGTGTTCCAGGGAACTCACCAAGTGTCAGAAAACACAACCCTCTCTATTTTCCTCCATACCCAAATCTCTAAAAAAGGGGCTGCAACGGATCTGATAAAAACTGATCCAGATTTGAACACTGTCCTGACGTCAGGACGGTGGCGCTACGGCTATTGGGCCAACTCCACCAATCAGGAGGAGACAGCCACGGCCATTGCCGTTCGAAAGCGCTGGAGACGCTGTAGTACATATGCCTGGCCTGTAGGTGGTGCTGTTCTCACAGAATCAGCCCTTGCAAAAACAGAGCTAAAGATTTTCTAATTGAGCGAAATGAGGCATGGCTAAAATGCATGATCTGTTTGGTATTTTGAAAAAAAAAAAGTATAAATATGCCTTATATAGGTATGGTCCTACACTATATTATTCAAATATAGCATGATAGGTCCCCTTTAAGTAAAGTCAACGCTTCAGTTTGTTCAGTGTAGAGAAGCAGCAAGGATGCTAAAGGCATGAACAAATCTTTAACAAATTAGAAATATTTCAGAGATATATTCATGATCAGGGTATAAAGACAGAAAGCTTATCCCAAGTTCGACAAAAGAGCAATGAAGTGAGCTGGTGTGTGCTGGAATGTTCATTGTGGGGAAAATCTGTTGCTCCTTCTGCAGCCAAGAGCGGCGAGTTTTCATCTTACTCTCCAAGAAATGTATGCAAATTAAGTTGTGCCGCAAACAAATCCCCGATAAGAGCTCTGCACACTACACAGACAAATAGCCTCTTCATCTCCGATTGCAGCCACAAAGCGCTTCAGCTTTAACACTACAACGCTCTGTGCCCCAAAGCCCCTAAATAATTGAAGCACTCTCAAGAGTTTTTTCATTTTTCAAAGCTGTATTTATTGGTATATTATTGCCAGAACTAAAAACGTTGCACTACAATGAAAATAAACAAGTACAAGAAAGGAAAGAAATCAAATATCTGTAATCTGATATTTCTCGATGAAGAGGTTCTCAGTTCTTGAGTTAACTTTTTTGTGAAAATAAATCTTCTGAAAGGCCAAAATGTTTGTGTTGTCTTTCGAAGGATCTTATATTCCCTGTAATATAACTTGAGGGAGTTGGTTTACCAAAGCTTTGGGGAATTTGGGATTTGCATTGCTGCACTGTCAATTATTTTTTGGACACAATAACGGCATTTATATCAATTAAATATGCATGACTGTGACAGACTCAAATTGGCCTCATTTACCCTCGCATCGCTATTAGGCTTCCTACTGTGCGAACAATTAAAAGTCAAGCATGGTTCTCTGGTTTATTCAATTTGGTGGTGAAAGTGGATCCATCCCCCCCAATACACCCCTTACTTGTGCTTCTATAAAGGCACTTGTTCAAGTTTAGTGAAGGATAGCTGCACCAGGGTTGTTGTCATTGGTAGCTTTGTCAATATTTAAGATTTGCTGTATCTTAAAAGACTCAAGAGTGTTTCTAGATAATGTATTTGAAATGTTTAAAACAATCATTTGTGGTCACAGCTAGCAGAGTTAGTACAGTTGCTACTGTATGATGTCCTTTTGTTGCTCTGTTATGTTTTTAATGTTTCATGTGGAACCTACTTGAGCAGGTCTCCCTTGAAAAAGAGATCAATGATCTCAATGGGATATAACCTGGATAAATAAAGGTTTGAAATGAAATGAAATGAGAGTGCAGACAGAAAGCATGCCTTGCAGGTGTCAGCTGAAAAATGTATGATTTATGTAGAAACATTAGCTATTTAAACCCCTAAATGTCATCAATAGAATGAGGTCAATTGGCAAAACATGACCATATCTACTAAGAATCCCAATAAAAAGAGACTTAAGTGACTAGAAAGTAAGATTAGAAATCAAAATAAATAGACCTATGAATATACAAAAAGACAAGATTCCCTTGAGTTTAGATGATACATGTAAACTGTTTTACTCAAGGATATTAAGTCTTAAAAACATGTCAGTATTTGATTCAGTCCGTCTCAGTACCTGTAATCTGTGCAATAACAATAAAGTTATCTAATCTTGAGCAGGAACAAATTAGTACATATCTGACATTAACGATTAAACACATTTGTGCATTCTTTATAAATGCAAACCGTGTCAAGCCGACTCCGAGCTGTCCGACTTCAGGCGAGCTTTTTGAGATGTCCCCCGGCTACAATCGGCTATTCTCGTCTACTTTCGAATTATAAAATGATGTTAATATGTGGAGATTATCCTGCTGAACAAAACGTGTAAGTATTATAAAAGTGTGTTTGCCACAGATCTTATTTTCTGCTATATTCCAAAATCCAATGAACTGCTAAATTCTAAGTCGGCCAATCATCATCATCACTGACCCTCTCTACAAAGGGCAATGTCAATCAAGTGCTTACTGCTAAAATAACTCAACTCTGGAACCACTATTAATATACTTTGAGGAAGGTATTTGAGAAGTAGGCATGGGTTAGTCAAGGCCACATTTTTTCAAGAGAGTGCATTGAATACATTATCACATTTTGCATTCATCTATACTGTTTTGCAGCACACGGATTGTAAGTACTGCAGATATCATGGGGCAGCCCCAATGGGACTACAATGCTTTTCATTTCAATCTCAACCCTGGGTGAAGTGAAGAGTATTCAGAGAATGTATTCACTCTCAGCTATTAGTGAAATGAATGAGAACATTCAAGGTCGACAAGGAGAACAAGATCTTCCCTACAGCAAGGTTTCATCGCATGCCATATGTATACACACACTCAAACACACACACACTCCTCCCCCTCCTCAGAGCTCATATGTCCTGTGGCCCTGGAGGGAGTTGCTTGTTAAACCAGTAGGAAAGTGGAGGTCGGTGACCCTGCATGGAGATGCTATAGTCCGTCATGTCTTTGTCTTTTCATTCATGTATGAACACAAAGAGCTGGGGCTGTGTCAATTTACAGATTCTCCAATACGACATATTGGACATGTAGTTGGTCTCCTGTGGTTTATAATGTTCCTTTTACATGTTTGCAATTAGCTGATGGTCTGTCTAGTGATTTTGAATGAATTCAGCAATTGTAAGATACTGCCATTTTAAATATAACTTAAAATCTATAGTTTTTTTTGTATTAATTCCCACCGGATTTTAGATATTGGTACAACGACAAAATACAATGAGTGCCAACAGCAGTGAAAAATGACAACTTCAACAACAGATCTGTTCCTGTTACTCTGAATAACAAACTAACACAATGTTAACTGTACATTTGCATTGATTAATACACGTTTGCAATTAGCTGATGGTCTGTCCAGTGATTTTGTGTGAATTTCACAATTGTAAGATTATAATTCAGCCATTTCAAATATAACTTAAAATCTATAATTGTTTTAATTAATTCCCACCGGATTTTAGATATTGGTACAACGACAAAATACAATGAGATGAATGGTGCTAACAGCAGTGAAAAATGACAACTTCAACAACAGATCTTTCCAGAATCAATGTCCCTGTTACTGTGAATAACAAACGAACACACTGTTAACTGTACATTTGTATTGATTAATGGTTTACATTTCAAGATGGAGAACATTACGAGCACAATTGTTAAAGCCTTGATGACCAGGTATACAGCAGCTGTAACAAATGTTGATGCAGAGGAAAACAGACGATGAAAGTTGGCAGGCCATTTTCTTTAGCTTGAAATACAACATTCAACGGATCTCTGAAAGGTCTTCACACTACAAAAACTCGAAATCTTGCCAAGTATATTTGTCTAATATCTAGTCAGAATATGTCTCTACACCTGATTTAAGACACAATAAC